CCGGGCACCCCTGCCAAACCCGGGCCCGAGCCTGCCGGCCCGCGGGAGCCTGGCCCCGACTCCACTGCTGTCCCACCCGCGCCTGCCCCAGACGGCGGCCCCCGGGGGGAGGAGGAGGAGGCCGGGAGGAAGGAGGACGCCGGGGCCACTGAGGTGAAGACCGAGCCTGGGCGTGTTCGCCGGGATGAGCCCGAAGAGGAGGAGGATGATGAGGACGACCTCAAGGCCGTGGCCACATCCCTGGATGGCCGCTTCCTTAAGTTTGACATCGAGCTGGGCCGCGGCTCCTTCAAGACTGTCTACAAGGGACTGGACACCGAGACCTGGGTGGAGGTGGCCTGGTGCGAGTTGCAGGTGAGGGGCGCGCTGCTGCAGGTGGGCTGTGGGCGCGTGCTTCATGCTCAGGATGGCTGGGTCTGCCCTGTGTGTCACCGTCAGTATGGGTGATGCTGTGTCAGGTGGGACAGTGGAGGTGGGACCTCCTGATGTGCAGTGGTGCCACGCCAGAGAGTGGGCACTCTGAGGGCCTTTCTGTCCTCCTGTGCCTTGACTTTAACTCCAGCTGCTCTGATCCAGGCTCTCTGGGTGGTTGTATCATTGCAAAAGCAGCCTGGAAGCTTCAGGGCCTTGTGTCCAGGTGTTGACAGGGCGGCTTCAGGGCCCTGAGCTGCTCTTTAAGTCGGTACCTTTCCTTGTCTTGTCAGGTGCTGGCACCCCAGCCGGGGTACCTAAGGGGTGGCTTCTGCCTTGACTGGTTAAGGGCATACCCTGGTATGCCCTGGCCCAGCAGGTTAAGGCCTGGAAATGCTTCATGGCCTTAGAACTCTAAGTCTCTGTTCTTCATAAAATGGACGCGAGAGTGATCTTATAACAAGGCTTGCAAAACACGGGTGGGTTTTTTGTTTTGTTTTTGATACAAAGGCTTTGGGCATGTATTTTTCATAACCCGGCCCTCACATTGGCTGTGTCAGCCCGGGCCCTGGAGATTATATAAATGGTAACCTGAGCTTCCCTGGGCCAACTTTGGAAGCTGGGGCAGTGCCTGTCACAGCGGGTGTTTATGGGCCCTCCCTCATTTGGGGTGGGGGGGCAGTTGTTGGGCTTTGGGCCGGTCAGTGTGAGCTCTGGCTGTGTGAGTGTAAGCCTACCCCAGTGTCCTGTAAAGTTAGCTGGCCCTTCCAGGCCTGACGCAGGCTTCCTGCCACACGGCCGGACGCCTGCCGCTTTGGCTCAGAAATGGATTTGATTGCTCTGCCCTCTGGGTCCCTGCAGAGTGGCCTGTATGTGGGTGTGCAAGCTAGGCTAATTTGGTGGGTGTCTACCTGTCTTTGACCTTTCTCCCAAGATAGAGCTCAAGGCCACCCCCTCTGAGGCCCCTTGGTTCTGCCATGGAAATGTGAGCTTTCTGTGATATGCTGATGGCATCCTGTGCAGTCTTCAGGAGGTACTAAGAGCTCCCCTCCCTGTGCTGACCGTAGATTCTGAGCCTGCTGAGGGTGCAGGACAGGCATAGGGCTTTGGGCTGTGGTCTGGGCACCCTGGGGTGTGCTGGGGTGTCCCAGCTGCCTGAGACCTGGAGGGAGAACAGTGGGAGAGGGCAGAGTGTTGGAGGGTGATTATTGCCTCCTGATTCTGGACTGGCCGAGTGCTTCTTGGCAGATGAGTGGGAAACTGGGTGCTGCAGCAGGCAAGATCCAAGTAAGACCTCCCAGCAGAGCAAAGCTGATCTGGTTGGGGCATTGCAGCACATGTGACCCTCAGGACAGGCTGTTCATTTCCAGTCCCTTTAAGGAAGGGCAAGCTGTTCTGTCTCTGGGTACCCCCAGCAGAGAACCCTAGGGGTAGAACCTGGCTACTGTTCAGGGGTCTTTTACTCCTGGACTCTGGCAGGAGCGAGGAGGCTGGAGGTGACTTCTTGACTGTCTGTTGGGGCCCCCAAAATCCAGGAAACCATCTCTGTAGCACCCCCAACAAGAGGGCACTGTTAATGTTTGCCTTAGGGTAATTTATAGCCTTTGGAGTCACTACCTGCTGTTTGACTGCTGGAGAGGGTTTGTACCAGAGCAGCCAAAATAGCCCCTTTTGCCAAGAACTAACTTGCACATCTAGCCTCCTCACCAACCATGAAGCTATTGCCCTGTTTTATTTTTGAGGACCCCCACCCCAAAGGTCACCAGCAAGGACATAGCTGCTGGTACAGGGGGATTGCAGCATCATGGGAGAGGGCTACCAGCCTGGTATAGCCATCCTTGAGTATGGGGGTGATAGGTGGCATGTTGGCTTTGTACCTGGGGAGGGGGTTCATGTGTGGACATGTCCATTTTCCACTAGCCCCCAGATCCCCAAGTGCTGGGTTTCTGGTAGAGGGTGGAGTGCTGGGAGCTTTGCAGGATTTCTTCTAGTCTTTGCTTTCCTCTTCCCTAGCACCCCAAAATGCCTTGGGAGAACCTTTGGAATGCCCCCAAAACTAACCCTTCACAGTCTGCTCCCTTCTCCTGTCCTTGGAATGCTGGAGGGGGGGGGGGCACTGTACCTGTCCACCACCCACTCCCTTTATTCTGGGTTTCCTGCTGAAGGAGGAAAGGCCCATTTCTGGACTCACTTTGTCTGGCTTAGGGGGTTTAGAATCCCTGTGACTTTCAATTTCCTTTGATAAATCAGTGTTGAAAGGGCTTTGTGAAGAGCAGTATGTGTTTGTCACACATCACAGGGCAGCAAGATGGTTCACCCCTGAATTCTCTGACACTGATTTGTGTGTGTGTGTGTGTGTGTGTGTGTGTGAAAGCCATTTTAAAACATTATCTGACTTTTTCACTTTTGAGTGAACTTTTATTTCTTATGCCCAAATACATTACAATAGCAGTGAAATAAGTGGAAATACAAGTGCAATTTTCTTGGTTCATGTTCCCAACAACGTGGGTCATTTTTGGCTATCTCTGCTCCTGCCCATACACCTGTTCTTTCAGACAATGTTTGGGGGGCTGGAGGCTCCTCACTGGCTCTGGTCTGCCCTGGGTGCAGGTCCAGACCACTGACATTATCCCAGACAGCTCAGGGCACCCTCTTGTACCTGCTGCCTGCTCTGAGCCAGTGTGGTCTTTGAGTAGAGGAAATGCATCCAACCCAGACCCCAGCCTGCTGGCATTTCCTGGACTACTTGCTTTTGTTATGTTTCCCTGAGAAACTTGGAGAGAGCCATGGCTTTCAGCCCTCTGCACTGATGCCACCCCCTTCCTTCAGCAAACCCCTGCTTCAGAGGAGATGGGCTCTCAGACCCTCTATTCCGTTCCCTCCCTTCATAAGGTGGTTGTGAGCTGCTGTGGCAGGCTGGGTACTATCTCCAGGGATCCTGCTTGGAACCCATGTTCCTTGCTGGTATCTGGACATTGGAGTTGGTCTGCCTCACAGAGGTGTCAATCCTTGAGGCTTCACCCAAGCATGAGTCCCAAAGAGGTATCATGAGGACTGAGGCCCCAATAGGTGGTGACACATGCTAGACCCCCCTGGTGCCATCATGAAGTCATCCTGTAACTGCTCTGTGCTGCCCAGGGTGGATGGGCTTGCATAGAGCTAATGGCCTGGGCTCAAGACTGGGAAGTAGCTTGCACAGACCCTAGGACCCCAATGATTATATGGCTGCTGGTGTCCCCTTTTGCAGCCATAGAGGAACTGTGTTACAAATTAACCAGTCCAGCCAGATGTCTGTGTCTCGTTTACCTGCCTGGGAGCAGATGATGCTGGCGGGGGCTTGTGGCAAGTGTCTGTGCTGAACACACTGGTCCCTGCACTGTCCACAGAGGATGGTGCATCTGCCTGTCATCAGTATCGCCAGCCAGCCTCTCCTAAGGCTGGGGCAGCCATGAGCTCACGTACCTGAGTGCTGAGCTCACAGACCTGACCTGTAGGTGTAACACTGTCTATCATAGATGGGCCAGGCACATGCCTTGTGTTCTGGGCAGCCTCGGGCCTAGGTTTGAGAGGTCCCTATGGCTTGGCCACCTGCCTGGTGTCCTTTCAGAGGGGCCCTGTGCAGTCTGCCCAGCTGACTTGGGAGAAGAGGAGGTCAGCAGGGATGGCTGGGTGAACTCAGCTTGGCTGTTACCCTGCATTTTATTTTTATAGTTGTAATTTCCTAAGAGCTTTTGTTGGGAGAGCTGTCACTTGAAATCATTTGGATGCCAGCACTGAGCCTGTTCTCTCGAGTGAGATGGCTCATGCGCCACGCTGACCATGGCCTTGGATGGTTGGCAGGAGAGGTTGGCGCCAGCTGCACTGGAGGCCTGAGAGGATTGCTTCCCTGCCAAGGCAGAAATGTGGGCACCCAGCACCCAGAGCCCCTCCCCTGCCCTGTGTGGTGTTGGGTAGTGAGGTCAGTGATGACGGACAGGCATCCCATGAGAGTAAGCCGAGGGTCACGGTCATGGGGTGTGTGGGTATGCCAGGCTGCTCTCTGTCGGAAGCAGGCGCTGCTGTGGCAGGGTGTGTGCCTTTCCAGGCATTTTCAGGAGGACCTGGTATGGGGGGCGGGTGCCTCCTTCTGGCCCGAATCAGTGTGTGACTTGGGCTCCGAGCAGGGACCCCAAACTGTCAAACTTGGTTGAAGGGTTTATGGGTCTCCCTCCACTCCTGCCACTTCCTGCTAGGTGGCAGCTGGGAGCTTATTCTGAGGCTAAGCCTCAGAGTAACGTGGTGGCAAAAAAAAAAAAAAAAAAAAAAAAGAAAGAAAGAAAAAGAATCACTAAAAAGAAGGTAGGGATGGAATGTCCCAGAAGTTTCCTGATGCTGGTCCCATGTAGGGGACTCGACAGGAAGGTTTGGTGTGGTTTATCATCTCTACCAGCATTTGTTGAGCATGTTCCCAGGCTCCCTTGTCCCACAGTGGTCAAGGCAGTATAGCATCCTGGGATCCCGGGAACAGGAGACCAGAGAACACATAGAGTATATTGGTGGTAAGCCAGGGAGGGACATCCAGTACTAGAAGTCTGCAGGCAGATGTGGGGAGAGGCTGTCTTGTTGCAGCCCTGGGTGGACAAGCCTCGCCCGTCCTTCCACATGCCTTGCAGAGCTGCTGGACTGCAGGTGTCTCTTGGAGTCTGTAGGCTGGGCTGGCTTCAGACTGGACCTGGACAACACCTGTAGTGATGACATGAAACTCCAGACAACTGCTTTGAAGGAGGAGAGCTTGACCCAGACCAGTGGAGGTTTTGGGGAGCAGGGAGTTTTCCTTTGTGTCTTGCTCTCACTGAGTGGTCAAGATGGGCGTGGAATCAGTCCATAGTGGTGCGGAGGGAAGTTCAGGAGTCTCAAAGCCAGGTCCATCCCTTTCCCAGCACACCCAGGGCAAGGGGCCAGGG